TTAAGCTTTAATTAATGGATTCTTTTTTATTCTAATTACAAATTAATGGACCATGTCGAGTATTTCTTTCTATGGAAAAAGATAACCTTGAATAAAACATTCGTATATTGGAGGAACAAGAATGAAACTTGCTCTTCCATGTCGGCTCCTCTGGTTATTAATTAATTTAAAAGTTCTTCACTAAAATTTAACTTTTTGTACTGTAAGAAGTGAGTTTATAAATTAAATATCGCATAATATTGTGTAATAACTCGATTAATTAATGTAAAATTGTTTAATTTTGTGTGTAAGGAGCCGTCCGTTAATGTAGGGTTTAAGGGGGAGAAGGGTTGCGAAAAATACGACATTGTACAGAATGAAGGGAGGCATTGTTTACGTGGACTTTTTAGTGGTATTGGTAACATACGAATTTGTTTTTAACTTATATTCAATTTACTAATTGTGTGGATAAACTATCTGAACGTTTTAGTAATTTGTTAAATGTCAGGGGCCAGTTTCCCATAAAAGAATCTCCTGGACCCTGGAGATTATTCAATACAGGGTCCAGGAGATTCTTCAATTTTAGGGGATCCATGAAACGTCCAGGAGATTCTTCAATGTCAGAGGATCCATGAGTCAGGTCCAGGAGATTATTCAATTTTAGGGGATCCATGAAACGTCCAGGAGATTCTTCAATGTCAGAGGATCCATGAGTCAGGTCCAGGAGATTATTCAATTTTAGGGGATCCATGAAACGTCCAGGAGATTCTTCAATGTCAGAGGATCCATGAGTCAGGTCCAGGAGATTATTCAATTTTAGGGGATCCATGAAACGTCCAGGAGATTCTTCAATGTCAGAGGATCCATGAGTCAGGTCCAGGAGATTATTCAATTTTAGGGGATCCATGAAACGTCCAGGAGATTCTTCAATGTCAGAGGATCCATGAGTCAGGTCCAGGAGATTATTCAATTTTAGGGGATCCATGAAACAGGGTCCAGAAGATTATTCAATTTTAAGGGATCCATGAAACAGGGTCCAGGATATTATTCAATTTTAGGGGATCCATGAGTCAGTCCAGGAGATTATTCAATGTCAGAGGATCCATGAGTCAGGTCCAGGAGATTATTCAATTTTAGGGGATCCATGAGTCAGGGTCCAGAAGATTATTCAATTGTAAGGGATCCATGAAACAGGGTCCAGAAGATTATTCAATTTTAAGTGATCCATGAATCAAGGTTCAGGGGATTGTTCAATGTCAGGGGATGTGCACATGGGGTAGGGGTTCGCCAAAAATATATCATTACAGGCAACAGAGGAGAGAGGGTAAAAAAGCAGCTCAAAAACTGTACACAAAATTAACGGATGGCCTCTAATATGCACCAATTTATTAAAAAAAATAATAATAAATAAACTTAATTTAGTAATATAATAAGAAACAAATGTTGATGAAACATTTTAACTTATGCACGAAAGGGAGAAAATACTGGAAATTCTTCGAATATTTTAAGTATTTAAATGGTTTTGGAAAGAATAATGTTGCATTGTTCTAAAATTGAGGAAACGTTTTCTTATTTTTTAAGAAAATTTTCTCGTGATTATTATATAAAGCCACAGCACGCAAATTGTTGGTGGAAGAGTCAGATTTATATCTTTTGATAAGATTTTTATAAATCTACTACCGGATATACTTCCTAAATCTTTCGATTTTCATATATATATTACAAGATATATTTCATATAAAATTTTAGGGTGGTCCAAAAGTCAGTTAACATTGCTGTTATACGCTAAAACCTCTTAACGACGGCCACTAACTTGAAAATAAAAAATGTCCGTTGTTTGAAGGTTATTTTGTATACATTTTTGTTAAATAATAATAATAATAATAACTGCTCCTGAAAACGACCACCATTTAGAAGTGTCCGTTGTTTAGAGGTGGCCGTTCTTGGAGGTTATATAAGGTTAGAAAGTCGAGTTGGAACACGTGGGAAGGAGAATATAGGGTATCAATATCACTAGAGAAGGCAAAGAAAGACAGAAGGTAAAAGGATCATGCAGGAGTTGAAGCTGGAAGGACTTGTATTCTGACTCCAGTTATAATCACTCTGCTACAAAGGACATGATGCGAGAAGGTAGTTTTTTTTGGTCTTTTCTTGCATGCATGGTCAACTTTAACTGCCAATATCTCGAAAAATAGAAGGGTATTAAGGTAAAAAAAAGGACATTTTTGGAATCGGCATTCAATTATTAAACAAAACTGGTTTGGTCTCGAAGTTTTGGTCACAATACAAGACTTTTCCTCCCCAGTTGTATTTTCGTAGTGAACAGAATGATGATATATCAACCCCACTTAGAGTGAGATTAATAATGCTGAAGAGGAGGAAGAAATTTCTTAGAAGTGTAACCTTCTAAATTATATGCAAGAAGTAACTCACTAAATCATTTTTTTTTATTACGTTAACGTCTAGATTTCTGCATTATTCCTTACTTGTTAGTGATATTCAGAACATGTGAGACCTGTTTTTGCGAAAAAGGTTAACTTAACACGAAGATTTCTTGATAAGTATGTTCTAGGTCATCATTTTATGGCGTGTATTCCTATATTTGTCCATAACGTTAAACCAGTTTAACCGTATTATTTATTCATATAGATAAATTATTAATGGTGTTTTAAACTTCGAAAAATATACCCTTTAATAATACACTAAATTGTATTCAGAATTGACAATTTGAATTGAAATAAACCCATTTTAAGGGATTATATTTAAAGGAGAATTTAAATATTGAACTTTTTTAAAATTCAGAATTTGTAGGTTAAATTTTCAAATACAGTTTTTGCAAATAGAACACCATTTCCTAAGTCCTGTGGTATTATTTTCCTTCAAATGGTTTACTGACCTTTTATTTTAAATAAAATAAAACTTCCAGTTGATGGACACAGTAATTCGGGCAGCAAAACACCTAAACAATAGGTGGTGAGAGACTCAAATCTACCTTCTACATCTTTATTGTGACTCAAGGAATAGAGAAATTTAATCGAGTCTAGTAAATGGCACATTGATCTATGGGCAAATACAGTGGCTATATATCAAAGAGGGCAATTGCCTGGGGTCTTCACTTACTGAGCCTCAAACCAATCTATACATGGGGGGACCCCCTAATTAAAATTTGCCTGGGCCCCATAAAGCTATAACTCGCCACTGTAGCGACCTTTGTTCAGAGATTCGTTCATTGTAAAGGATATTCGAACTATGAATATTCGTTTCTGTGTTTAAGTAATAATTACATTCATAAAGTCTAAATTAAAAACAATAGACAAGGGTTTTCTATGAACGTATGAAGTTTTCTTTTCTTCAATATAAATATATGTTATAGTGTAGATCATATAATTATTAAATCAACCACCTGTCTTCAAATAATGCCCATGTTTGTAAGTCTGGAGTGTTGAACTGAATTGTGATCGAGTTGTAAGCGGTGAAGACTATTTAATTCAAGGTCGACCCAACCTTCTTTCAAACGAAAGTCGCCAACTGACAAAAATAATGTCTGCCAGACTCACTCGAGAGTTCAATAGATTGTAAGGGGAGCCCAACCCTCTTTTTAACCTTCTGAAAACGATTATGAGGCCCCTTTAAGACCTATTTTTAAAATATTTAAGGGTTCTGCTTTAATTTTACAATTGAAAATTGAAATTTTTAGGTTTTGTAGAATCGTATAGGTTTGTTAGGAAAATATTCAAATTCCAAAGCTGCAGAATACATTTTATACTTTAAATAACTGTTTGGGTGTATAGTTCAAGATAATTTCTACTAATTTAACGTAGTAAGAACAAGGATTACTTGAGGATTACAGAGTAACAATGGTTTTCGATATTAATTTTCAATTATTTCTGGGTTTTTATACACCGAGTCAGTAAAGGTCATAAAGGGAGAAGTTATATACTTAGCGCATTGACCTACTAAAGTAATTGCTGTATAGCTATAAAACCGTAATAACCAGTAAAATATAAAGATAAATTAAATAATAAAAAAAACTTTAAAAATAACTAAAATATAGGAAATACATTCACGTCTTATCTGTTATGTGGAACTATTGAGAATGTATCAGTTCATCGATGCTAACTGATAAGTTAACGAGCTTACTATTTTAATGAGAATTATATATATATGTTGGATAGACAATCAAGAATTCCATCAGTTACATTGATCTTAAAACCCCCGAACATCACGAATTCCTACACGAAAACAATGAAGTTATTTTAATAAATGATATTTCGGAGCTTTGTTCTTCAGTAATCGTTGGAAGGATTGTTAGTCTGATATGACTGAGTGACTCGAACATCATTACAGTTTCTTTTTCTCTTGCTGAATGGAGGTTGCTGATTATACTACAAATGGCTATTTTGTAGTTTCAGCGGTTGGCTGCACAGCTTTTCAATATATTATAATCTCCCCCTTTATACGATTTCAATAACATTTATAAAGCATTGGTAGGGGGTGCACATTAATCGAACAGGTCGTGTGTAGCTTAGGTTAAGCTATAAATATACCATTTAAAAAAAATGAACCGCTATCTATTTATATAATTTTAGGTGATTAATGCTCTTAACCGTATTAACATACTGTATATGCAGTGGTTATATACGTGAGGGACAGAGAACGACGATACTATCAATATTACTTATATTGTATGCTAGTATAATTATGTTCACTACAGGATAGTCTGGGTTCATTCGATAGCCTGTACATAACAGGGATGGCCAAACCTTGTCATACAAGCGCGTTATAGCTTTATGAGCCTCGAGCAAATTTGAATTAGGAGGTCCCACGTACAGTGTTGATTTTTCTTCGGAATAATATTCTTTTGGGAAAGTATTTTTTTAATAAAGAAAGCCCCAGACAATTTCTCGTTTCTGCCTAATAGGATAACACCCCACTAAGGAACCCTTTCGTGTATTAGAACGGTATTATAAGTCGCATCCCTACCCTGTAATAAGGGATAGGGATTTGATATATAAGGGGTATATAAGTCGTATTGTGATGACTGTAGGTAGAAGACTTAGTTAATGCTTAATTAACGTTGTAACAAAAGTACACAAAGAGAAATTTAAATAATAATAATTCAAAAAAAAAATGATGGTTTTTTATTAGTTATACATAAAACAAAACTTACAAATAAAATTATTTTGGCATTCTTTGTTGTTGTAATCTTGAAGATAGAAGTGATTTTGAGCCATTTTTTTTTCTCTTGTTTCTTCCATAAAGACAATTATTCCTGACTTGATAGCATTATAAATCGAATTTTAGGAATTTCTTAATGAGCAAATATAACAAATACTATACAAATTTAATAAGATATTTTAAAATTTGATGTCCATTTAAGAATTTTTGTCCTTCCTCTTCTTAATGGTTATTTCTTTCTTGTAATTATCCTATAAAAAAATTGTTGTTTTATTAAATAATTTAAAAGTATAGAAAATTTGAATAGTTTGTATCATTTATTTCAATTTAGACACAATTTATAAAAGTTTAAATGATGTGTGACTGAATCATTATCAACATTTGTCTACTACTTTTGTTCTGTATACGATTTGAAGGTCATTAACCAACTGAACAATAACTATTTTCATACAAGTCCATTCACACTTAACTTTCTCACAAAGTTAAATATAAATTGCTATATAATTATTTGAATTTTCTTTGGTTTTATTAACATAAAGCCCTAAATATACAATATATGACAATATTAATATGAATTATATAATAAAAGTATAAGTAAATATATGAATTTTTATTAAAAGGTAAACATAAGGAGTGTATGAAGCTTTTTTCCATTCAAATTTAGGGAAGTTAGGGACACTAGAACGGTGTAGTAACAACTGAAATAAGGAAACTTTCATATAAATGCTGTGTAAATAAGAATTTGTATGTGAATATTAGAAGTATAGAAAGCGCCATTCTAATAAATATTGCATAGATGAGAAGGAACATAACAGAGGATGTATTGTAAATAACATTAGCCTATATATGAGAACTTTCAGTAAATGCAATACAGTATAAATATGTGGCTACAAGCATATAAAAATACATAAAACTTTGTTTAATTTATCCTGTAAAATTCTATTATTGACAGCATTTATTTTCTCGTCCAAGAAGGTATTAAAACACGGAGTTATTTAATTAAACAGCGAATAAAAATACACGAAAGAAATGAGAATTTTCCAAGGAAATTTCCATAAATTTTACGCTTACGTTGAGGGCACCGTTATATTATAGAAACGGATGGATGACTCCAAACACTTATATGCCAATTACTAATATGAAGTAGTACGGCGTAGAGTTTTCTTACTATTCATAAAAGGCATTTATGCAGTTCAACTAATAATATGGGGAGGAGAATCTGTAGCATATCTACGTACACAGGAAATATTCACTATCCTCATGTCACTCGAACACAGTTAAGCGGAACAGGTCGCGCGAACAGGCAACCGGAACGAACCGCATGACTCATTCAATAACAATATAGTACGTATACTATATTACACAGGTGTTTGCATGATAATCTGGATGACTTTATGTTTTGTTTTCTCCACTGTGTTTTGTTTTTTACATTGGATCGTCTTAAAAATACTCTCCGTGTGTTGGGGCAAATTACACGTAGGGGAACAAATGGCGCAATCAGTCACACACCCACGTGAAGCCAAGAGGTTACATGTCCTATATACTTAGTTCTGTATATTCGAGAAAAACGAGTTATATATTAAAGATTGTAGGCGTAAATTTCAATTGAATTTTTGTATTGTTTTATACGAAATTTCGCCCCCTCTTTTTATTTTTTTTTAATTATTTAGAACACGTGAAATTAACTGTGTCTAAAAATAAAACCGTCTAGTAGTTCTTTCTTCTAAAAATAAAATAATAAAAAAACTGGGACAAGTGAAATAATCAACCTGACGTAATTTAATTAAATATCATTAACAAAAGCTGTTTAAATAATAAATTGACGTCTGTTTTCTCATTTATTAGAGGCTGTAGGTGTGTATGTAATCGTTGGGATTTGTGGGCGTACTTGAAACATCCAAGGTCATTAAGACCAAACAATAGACTAAAGGGATAGTCGAAAACTTGTTAGCATAAACCATGATTCCTGTTTTTATTACCATTATTTTTCTACTAAAAATGAATTTTAAGAGATTTTTATTTGCTATTTATATAGGTAAAATAATTATTAGAAAAGTCATAAAGCTATTATATAGACTATATATAGATCTTGTGTTGCTTGTTTATATAATGAATTGTCTGATACGCACGTTAAAAACACGTAAAATTTAATTTATATACTGTAAAAAGTTATATAAATTAGTAAAATTAATATCGAGAATGTTAAATTTATTAATACCGAGGGTGGCCCTTAAGTCGGTTAACCCAATTGGCTATAAAAAAAGGTAATAAAAGATGTATTGAACAGTGTTTTAAAGCTTATAGTTTATAAATTATTTGAATGGATAACAACGATTGTAAACGGACTTTTAGGCCACCCTCCTATATTTTATCACGAATTACTTCGTGTTTTTATAGTTTTCTACGTAAACAGAATTTATTATAATAATAATTACATTTGTAAAAATCATGTTATACTCATTTGTGTTCTAGATTAAGCACCTTGATAAATAAAAAGTTATTTACAAAATAACCTTACAGTTAATAATATCAACCGGTTTATATATATCTAAAACTGTTCTATTCTTCGCTCGACTTGTTCTACTAAAAATTTTGATTATTTTAACCTTGAAACCTTTTATATACAGACCAAAAAAATTTAATTTAATAGTGAATATTTGGAATAATAAAGGTTATTTATCTTTCTTTATGTTAATGGAGAACGTTGACAATAGCCTAACATCAAACCATCAAAGATTAGATTTTCTTATGTTACAACCTGTTTTCACCTTAAGAATTTTGTCTTAAATGTCATTAAATGTTATAATGATTTAATTTAATTTAAAAAAAATATTGTTTAAATTTAATTAAGTAACAACAAGATTGTGTTTTTTTATATATTGAATTCTTGAGTATAGATTAAAGGTCGACTTGTACAACTGAAATTATTTGATGGAGACAAAAGGTCGAGTTGTATGGGATTGACACGCTGACCCAAATTTCACTACCATCTTGTTTTTTTTTTTTTCTTTCTTCAGCTCCCACTTATCTCTCAAATGGACTGTACACAGAACCAACGAGGCATGAATGCCTAAAACCCATGTCCATATACATTAGATAGATTCGTTATCATACTCACTCTCGTTAATCAGAGATGTCTCTGATATTTCTAAAACAAATATATATATATATTTATAGGCATTAATTTAGTATTCTATATCAATAATATTTAGTTCTAATTTAAATATTCTACGGGTTTAAGATAAAGGACTTTCATGTGTTAATTGTTGGAGGAATTTTAGGATGCTATAAACTAATTTACTTACTTATTTTTGAAAACTAGGAGGCTTCTTTCGGATGAAATTAGTATCCACTGATCCATTATGATGGTCTTTTAAGTTGAGATCACTAACTAATTGAGCCAATTCTCTTTCCTTCCTATCTTCTATCCTCTGATCACCACCGACTGATTCACGATCGGAATTTGGAAAGAAATGTAGATTTGCTAGGCTGTTAGAACGAGATCTATGCTCTTGGCGGATGGAAAATGAAAAGGCACGTTCGTTTAAGTGTCCTTTCTTCCTATAAATACCTGTATTGAATAACGATTCTAATTCTTTACCATCGACACTTTCTTCGTTCTTCTTCTCTCTAATCGAAGAACCATTACGAAAATATTGTTCGTGAGGAAATACAGAAGGTTGGTAAGAAGCAGTAGGGCTCATAGGTCTAGTAGTAGATGGAATGTAAGCGGGCTCCTCTATACTGGACAATGGTGGACGATCGGGTCTCTTAACTATCCTCTCGGTATATAAACCCGAACCGGCATAAATATTAGGTACAGGTACAGGATGCATCGTTCTGTAACCGTTAATCGGTTGATCGTGTTTTTTTGATTTACCTTTAAGAAATCTTTTGCTTCCTTTACTAGATTTACTGGATATCAATGATGGCGTCGAAGGTGGTTTCGGTGGTGATAACATCTGTCTAGGCTTGGACGTTAACGAGCGTACAGATTTAACACTTCTAATGGTCCCCGTAGAATCTACGTATACTAAATCGCGTTCGGTTTGCGGCCTGCCAGACCATATTTTGTAATTTTCACTAGGTAACGGATCAGTTCGGCCATTTTTATGCTTCCACGCTGTTACTTTGTCCATTGTGTTTAAACTCGGGCGATCTAGTAAATAGGGATTCTCTTCTATTTGTCTGGCATAAACGCTGTCTGCGTATCCATGAAAACAAGAGCGTACGAGAGCATTGGCGGCTGCTTCTTTTTTGCAGATGAAAGCGTGACACTCTAGCACTTTTATCCCTTCGGTTCGTCTCAAAATGCACGCAAATAAAGGAGGATGATTAAGATTGGCGTGTCGAGCGAACGGGCTATCTAGTGGGAGGAACTTTTCCACTTTTCCACCATCGTTCTCGGAAACTAAGACGTATCTAACTGCCGCACAGTAGTGAAGCGTAGAGATATCAAAAAATCTTGATAATTCACGCCTAGATTCATCGACGTTTTCAAGTAAAATTCCATTACTCCACACGCTGAGCCAGGAATCTATCCCGTGGGCGGTGAAGGGTCCGTGTTCGGGATAAAGATCTCTTAATGGTTCTTGTATGCCCTGAAGACCGTCTTTAGTAATGTGAGGTACAGCTGAACCCAGGTATAACACTCGGCAACGACAGATTGGTGTCGTCGCCATGGCTGCTTTTCTAGTCTAGACTCCAAGCGTTACTGAGTGCTCTCCGCGCTGCGACCCTCACCTGCAACATTCGACCAATCACAACTGGTTTTCTGACGTCCGGACAGGTAGCCTCGTAAGCAAATCCGTTATAGGTGGAGCTGGCAGAAGATTTCATGCCTAGAGGATATTACAGACAAAACTTTTAAACATTTTTAAGATTTACAGAGACGTTTTGCTTAACGTAAACTCCATTCAAAATCAGCGAATAGGACACAGTATTTTTACTAATTTAGCATGATTTATGACATTAATAACAAGTTTTTACACATATTTTAGACCTCTTTTTTTTTTAAATTATCTATAAATCGTAGATCGATACAGGTTGAGAATTTTAAATTGGGCTACTAAAAATGACCTGTGACCTGCATTCTATAGCAACAGTTGATTTTCGGATCGAAGATTTTGATGGTTTTAAATCATGACAGCTATCATCTAATTTGACAAACATCTTCTGACTTAAACAATACCCTTTAAGTACCATTGTTTTGAGTAGTCATTGACCCAAGTTGTAGCGGATCAAGTTCGAAGGTCATTTAGATCAAAGTGCAAATTCGTGAAGAGAGGAAAAAAAATGTAATAATTACTATTGAGTTCGATTGTCAAAGTAGAAATTAGGCTATTTTATTTACGAACTTTAGGGAATATTTACTGTATACACAGTCGACCCCCTATAATACTGTTGATAATTCTGTTTTATATGAATTCCATGTTGTACGAGTCACTTAGATTTTACAAATACATGTGACGGGCTGTGAACGGCTCACGTATTTGTAAAATCTAAGTGACTCGTACAACATGGAATTCATATAAAACGGAATTATCAACAGTATTATAGGGGGGTCGACTGGTATACAGGCCTATAGACCCGTATATTTTCTCTAGTAATTCTCAAGTAGTTTAGCTTATATTTTAAGTAATCGTAGAAGAAATAACGAAGGAAATTAAACAATTTTGATTTATTTTTCTTTAATTCAAACGAACACGAATCGAGATCGTGCAAAACGTGTAAATGAAATAAATGAGATGCGTATCAGATAACAGAATTTTCCCATTAAATAATTGAATATTGCTTTAAAAAATCCAATTATTTTCGAGAATTTAAATCATTAATTTAATTTAAAAATAAATCTTGATTAAGAAGATAATGTTGTTTAAGTTATTCCTCTGTTAAAAAAAAAATGCATCATTAAAATTGTTTAACTGACTTTTGGACCACCCTTTTTAAGATAATAATTTTACGATATTTTTTATTAGTTTTTTTTTTCTTTTATTTAGTTGTGTTTTAAATATATTTAAATACAAAGACTTATATTCGGGTATTAAATTATACTTTAAAACAGTATTATTTATCTCCCTCTCTCTGTCTCTCTCTCTCTCTTTTTCAATAGATAATGTTTCTAATATATTTTACAATTTAATTTAGTAGTAATTTCTGTACACAAATATATAATTTCCATAATAAAATTAATTAATAAACAGTTATTATTGAAGTCTGTTTAGAATTGCAAACATAGAACTAGAATGTCTAATGTCGTTATCCTTGATTTATAAAGCAGATAGGAGATTAAAATGTATTATTTATTTACAATAAAACATTAAAATTCGAAAATTTTACATTTTATAAAACATAAATTCAATTAAATATTTATATAAAATACATTAAAATTTGCTTTTGAAGTAACCACTCAAGCATCGAACTTATAAGTTTAAAAACTTCCTCACCCCCTTTTCGTACCTATGCAGTAAAACCTGCCTAAGACGGAACCTGAATAAGACGGAAAACTGCCTATACTCTTCAGAACAAGGCGATTTTCTACATTAAAAAACCTGTTTGAACCGGAAAAAACATTCGGTGCCGTCGTGCAATTCCGGTTTACACAGGTTATACTTGTATATATGTGTTTTTATCTCCTTTGTCATCCAACACCCCTACTGTCTTTGCTTTCCATACCTCCCATTTGAATCTTCTACCACTCTCAAGGGGAGGATGAGCCCACTGACAATCACTAAAAGTTTAAATATTATTGATTAGAAACTCTGTTTTATCATTTATTTAACACGTAAAAATAAGAATTGTAAACATTTCTAATCTCTAAATATTCTAAAATTTAACATGATTCTAAATATTTAAAAATGAAATAAAATTTTCCGGTATAAAAACAGCAACCTTTAAGGGTTTATCTAGACTTTTAAGGTTGACCATATTAGTTCTGAATAATTTTATTTTTAGATTTATAATTGTGTGTAAATGCTTCTTGAATTGTTCGATTAAAACTATATTTAGTAGCGCATTTAACCATGCTTATCTTTCATTTCTTATTTGTTTTTAGATAGAGAACGATTCAAGAAAACACTTTCCTTTTTTTCACATTGCAGTTCAATCAACTAGAAGTTATGCTCTTGATCCACGGATTACAAGGATTTATTTTAATAAATTCATCGTAAAAATATATAAAATTTTATTCTAATTTGAATACATCTTATTGCTTATTTCAATTAAGTTATAAATAATTTTATAGTAATTAAATTATATAATAAAATACAGTCAAACCTGCGTAAGGGAACATAAAAAAAATGTCCGTTGTTTGGAGGTTATTTTGGATGTATTTTAAAAAGAAAGAGTTCCTGAAAACTTGGTCGCTGTTAAGAGGTGGCCGTTATTACAGGTTTCACTATAAACAATGTTAAATTTTATTAAATTAATATATAGTTTACTTACTTAAACTATTAATATAAATGTAGAGCGAATTAAACAAAGCTATGGGGGGTGAGGAGTTTATTCATGCAAAACACGGTCAGACAAGTAGTGTATTTTGTTATTCGATACTTCGTTACTAGATGGCGGTAATGGTACTACTATCTGTTTTATATTATTATTATACAGCATTTGAAATTGTTTTATAATTAAGGGTCTTTAGGGATGCTTTATTTTTAAAAGAAATAATGCTTTTAATGCTTTATTTTAACACATAATTTTATTTTTGGTTGAATTTAGCACTTTTAGTTGTTATTAAAAGGCAATTTTACATTAGTATCTAAATTTTCTTCTGTCAAACAGCTTGGTTGTGGTGTTAAGATTCTATTAGGTTAATATTAAGAAAAACTTGGTTGAACTGCATAAAAAGAACAATGCATCCAAAGCAGGATTAAATATTAGCATGTCCTTTACGTAGGGTTTTCCTAAAATTTCACTGGATCTTGTCATTGTTTTACTGGACAATAATTGGAGCTCTGGAGGAATGACCATTTAGTTTGCTGAAACTGGTTGGATTCAATTGTTTAATTTCTTCCCAGAAAGTAACATAAGGGTGTATGTATGAGTAGCGATATGTTCTGAGACTATGCCACACATGTCACTTGCAAGAAACCCATGACCTGGGTGCTTCAAGCTTGTAAATTAGCTTGACAATGTCTGTAGATATTTCTCCATTAGCTTTTAATTGCGTTTTGTAACAATTTAAAAAGACGATAAATAGCAGATGCTTCCTCTTCCCTCATTAAACAAATTTATTCCTTTAAAGAATCTCTGTTTTTCAAATGATAGTGTGCAGTTTCTAGAAGAAATATGCTGTTTCACGATGAAATACATCGTGAAACAGCATATTTCTAAAAACAATCTACAAAATTCTATGTCAACACAACCATAAAAGATTACTTAAACAGTTTTATTCCTAAATATGTAGTAATATTTAATGTATTTAATTACAACCAGCTCAGACTTTTAGTATCAATATTAGACCTATATAGATAGATACAGATTATTGTATTATTCTGTTTCTAGGACCTAAAACTACTACAAAATTTTAAAAATTATTAGAAAGAAACATCGACTAATATGGTATATAAAAAAATATAATTATACAGTACTTACAATATGAAACAAAGGCAAAAACTTCGTGAGAAAGTAGAAATACTAAGTGGAAACTGCCTATTTAATGTACTTTTTTAAAAATCACCGTTAGTCAACTGGTTTTTTTTTCTTGCCAATCACAGCAAGAAATTTAAAATTTTGAAACGAATTAATTTTCAAATTCAAATTTGTTTACAGTTGAAATTTATCAGCCAATCAAAAGAATAGTTTCAATTTCAGAACGTTAAATGGGCGAAGAAATTCAGTTATAAATCGTTTAACTGTTGATTTCTCATAAGAAATTCTTTACTTGTATATCTCCTTAGGTTTAATTTAGACAATTAAATAATTATATTTTTACAAATACTCATAAAATTTACTGTTTTATAATCCATGTGTTGGTACCATAATTCTATTCTACTTTCTAGATACCGATTTGTGTACCTACAGACTCCAAAATGTCAATCGTGTCTGCGATCATTAGAAAATTTTATGCATTCAAGATTTTTTCAGGAAATACCAGACATGCTATTTGGTTCATCACATTTATGTAATAGTAAATAATTAAGCATTGTATATTGTGTATACTTTCTATCTTTCAATACTGTACTGTACACCAGTATTGCAAGATAATCGTACAGTACATGCTTATTCTAAGTTCGGGGTAATCTCATCTGATCCTATTTACGTAGCTTGGCGGATTACAAAAGGGACAATATTTTTTATGGATGCATTGATAACATTTTATAGATTTTTTTTTTCATTTTTATGAACAGGATTTAGTAGGTTTTTTGGTTTATTGACAAGAGATGGAAAAGTGTTTTTGGTTGTTGGTTGTAATTCACTGAATTTAGTGATGTTTCTCGGTTGTATTAACAGGATTTGATGACATTTTTCCGGAGAAACTTTGTCTATTCGGAGTAAGAAATGGTATCCTTGATTACGGTTTAGTGGCACTCATTCATCATAGAATCTAGCGAGAAGATAGAATGGCATTCACCAGTTTGAAAAGTTAACACAGAAATTATATTCCGAGCCTTTCGTAATAGTTCGACAAAAACTTAAATATATTAATTAAGTACAGTGTGTTAAGTAAAAATCCGGTAACAGTCCTTTTTGGGTATAAAGAAGCTCACGGAGGAACTGAACATCGACACCAGCGGGAAAGATTCACCAATGTTGAGGTATGCTTTTCCTTCTTCAATGCGATAGTTCGTGCAACTTTTTCATTTCGACAGGATACAACATCTCGACAAAGGGGTCATAATGTCACCATCGCCTGATGAGACCAGTGGTAGGTCAGCATGATTAGATTCCTCCTTTTCTGTAATATGGATTGAATTGTCTACGATGCTATCTCCTTCAATAGGTTTTATTTTTGATCGAAGGCATAATAGTCTGAAACTCTCAAAACTTCATCCTATAAGAAGGAAAATAAATAAAAATTAACCTGGATGATAATTTCGAAAAAACTTTATATTCGAATACTAGATATTTATCCTTTAAAAATCATTGTTTAATTTAAGATTGCATAAGTTATATACAGTATTCATTTTTATGTACTAATCCTTGCAGACACGAAAATCCTCTCAATTTCTGTCATCGTTAGCTATTTTATGGCTAACAGAAGATAGTGATAAATTTGTAGTGTGTGTATATTTTATGGTGCTCGTTGAAGAAGACCAATCGTATTTCCAAAATAGTTAACCAAACCCGTCAAGTAAGAAGTTTCGATTATAAAACGAGAAACTAGATTTATAACATAAAGATATTTGCTTTAAAAATTATCGAAAAGTATATTTAAAATTAATTAGAAAGAGAAACCAAGGAATCCTTTATTCATGACACAGGAGATGACCAAGGCGCGAATCTATATTATGGATAAAAATAGTTTCGGATAGTCTAAATTAGATTTTATTGAAGTAACACAACGTATGAGTGATCAAAAAGGGCGCCTCTTAGGAGGATTTTCTACCAGAAACGGGCTCTTATTTAAGTATTATACACGAAGAAAATTCAGAGAATTTCACATGGTCGGCTCGTAGTCAGGCAAGAAGACCGTGACCAACTACAGGTGTTTAGTGGTTTTATCTAATCGTTCAGTAATGGACACAGTTTCCATCGGAAGATACCTCAAAAAAAGAAATATTAGAAGAAATAAAGAAAAATATTGTACTTAATTTAAACTTACTTAAAGACAAAAGAAAACTTTTTTTCGGTAAAAATACCAAAGAAAGTTGCTTAACTTTCTCGACATTTAAAACTACATATGGTGCCATCTGTTATGATATTTTATTTTAAAAACTTATATTTTTTAATTATAAAAGTGCAAAAAGGTTAATTTTGAGGGTAGATGAATTTTATAAGAAAAATTATAAATTCTAATAAGAGTGAAATCGTTATTACAGTAAGTGCGATTATACTCGAGATATGACACACGACTCTATCTCCTCACCCCGTCCACCTTTAACCACCAAAATTTAATAGCATCAATTCCCTTAATACACAAACCACCCTGCAAAATTTCAGAAATTTACGCCGAAAAGGGCAGTAATTATTAAGCTGCAAAGAGGGTAAACAATATCCGAGACATCGATCTCCGACCGCCATATTTTGAAATGCTCACGTCACAATGTTCACGTCAAATAATGCTTTAAGTCGATTGGTCTGCTTCTCATTTGCAGCCATAAAAAGTCAATTTTTTAAATTCTAGTTTTATATAATACAGTGGAATCGGTTTTTGGAGCTTAAGCGGCCTTTTTAAAAAATTCTTTTCGCCGTGCGGGCTCCGAGAGGACCCCTTTTCCTATACCCTAATGGGTTTGGCCAAACCCACAATAGAATAATGAAAGCTTACCATGCAGATGAGTTGCCATTATAAATTTACATATACATCAAAGGATCGGAGCGTGACTGGCAACGCATCCGCACGGTAAGCGGCAGTTATGGGTTCGAATGCCGCTCCCGGCATATTCTTTTCTTAGTAAATTTTCTAAATTACTAAATAAATATTAATTTAATGTATAATAATTAAACTTAATAACAGATGGCGCCTAACTCCTATCTTTATTGCCAAATTACTCAAAACTTATTAGTAAGGAAAATATAGCCCGATTTAAATAGGTAATAGTTTATAGTTATGTACTATATACCACGTGACTGTCAAAGTTTAAATTCAGAAATAAAAATTAATAATAACGATGGTATGCAATTACACTCCTCTTGGTATCAATTTTTAGCCAACAGGGGAATCTACAATAACATTTACCCTGTAAAAGTGAGGTAAAAGTTCTTCACGTTGTATTTTATTTATACTTTAAATGTGTGCCTATTTCTCGTTGATTTTAATAATTTATTGGAAGATTTGAAAGCCAAAACGTGTATTCAATAAATCTGGTTTGTAGTACAGCAAATGTAAGTTTTATCTTATTGTTTATATTTTAATAATTTTATTGTTAAAATCTGGAATTAGTATTGTACAGTTTTAACAACTGTATAACAACTGAAGAGCGATATTAATTGGTACCGGCATATTAATGTTTCGTACTTTTCCGGCTGTAAACAAAGAGAGAGTATGGCGATTGATCACCCTCCAAGTGATTTTGTTCATACATTTGAAACTTAATAATTCCTTTACTTTTTGTCGAAAATTTATAAAATTTTGCAGGGACTTTCGTGTATTAGGGAAATCGATGCTGTTAAATTTTGATGGTTAAAGGTCGAGAGGGTAAGGAGATAGAAGGGGGGGTCATGTGTCATATCTCGAGTGAGATACTCGGACTTCATGCCACAACAATTTAGATAACTTTAGGAAAACTTTTTACTATTCTTGTGTGCCATTTAAGAGGTCACGATAATTGATAATTATCCTCTGATTTATGATTTTATCAAGGAATTACAGTTTGGTTTTTGTCTTTTTAACAATAGAAAAGCTCTTCGGTTATAATATAGAACTGCTGTTGAAGTGTTTATCATTGGCAACGAATCTTATTGGCGACTTTTAAATTTATTAATTTTTTTTATGGTCACCGGGGTTGACTTTTGTATAGTTATAGTAAATTAATACTTTTATATACATTTTAATATATGTCTAATTATTAAATTTTTATTATGACGTTACTATTTATGCTTATAATTATTTTTATTTTATCGCATCTTAAACCATAAATATATATGTATTGTAGATCTTTAAAATTGAATATATATATATAATTTAATTAATTGTCATTAAATAAGCACGGTAGAAATAACTGTGAAAGAGTTAACTCTAAAATACATTTTAAATATTTTCTATTTAAAAAAATGTCAAAGTACATTTAAAAATTCATATCTTCAACATAATTAAAATTCCTAAAATGTCAACTTAAACACCATTTTTTTTAAATATAAGGTTGAGTCCTGCTACTTTGTAAACTGCTCCATACTTTACTCGAGTCGTTAGCCTAAAAGTTGCCTACCAACTTATAGGATCTGCATATAAAATGACAACCGATTTAAAAATCAGCTGCGTAATAAAATCGAACTAGTTATAGTAATAAATGTTACGCTACTTAAAGGCCATGTACACCACGCTTCGTTAACGAGAACTCTAGAATAAGTTAATGTAAGTAGACGGACGGATAGGACGAAACTAATAGCTACTTTCTGTAAAAAAAAAGAAATAAGGGTACACGCCTAACAAATTCAGTAGGGTCCATACTTTGTATCTGTCACTAATGATAGATGGGTTTCAATAGGAGTGGCTAAGTTTAGCCTTTAATAAATATCACAGTATAAATGTATATAAAAATGTGTTATTATATAACACATAAATGGTTTTTTTATATAGTAGTGAATTTTTATTAATAACTTTAAAAAATTTAATAAAATATTTACACGTATATTTATTAAGAAATACGACGAGGACATTAATTTTTTCCTTGTAAGCATTTTTAAGAGGTTATTTACTGGGATTTACATTTAAAATTCCGTATTGCCCCTAAAGGTAGAAAGTGAATAAATGGAAATCTCTTGTTTGGAGTGATAAAGGATGTTAATTATATTTATATCCAGTAAAGAATTAAGACAAATTATTCATCTAATCGTGTTATTTATTACCGTTTTATATCTATTTTCTTTGTTTGTATCGGTGTAATTCACTCGATAGACGTATCCCACTCAGTGT